TAGTATACAAAAATATTTGCTAACTGTCATTTAAAATTTATTAATTAAAGGAATAAGATTGTGAATCCATATCTTAAAAATTTAGAATTTAACATAGGTTACAACTATCTTTAATAATCACTTTGCATATTTTAATAAAATTTTAAGCAGGATAAAAGGAGCAACGATTATGAGAATGAAAATATCGATTTGTTTTTTTGTTTCGAATGAAATTTTATTTTAACATGTCAACAATTTATATTTTTGTCCAATTGCGTCAAACAATTCTAAAACTTTAAAAATAACGATTATGACTATTGTCACTTATCTGAAATATTATTTTAACATGTTAGCAATTTATATTTTAGCTCATTTGCTTCAAAAAAATTTAAAAACTTTTAAAAATAACGATTATGAGATTATGACAATTGCCACTTTTATATGATACATCTTCATGAAATTTTAATTTGACATTTTTACAATCTATATTTTTACCCTTTTATATCAAAAAACATTAGAAACAACGATTATGACAATTGTCACTTATCTATGGGACATCTTCATTGATATTTTATTTTAACATGTTAGCAATTTCTATCTTTGCCCATTTGCTTCAAAAAACTTTAAAAATAACGATTATGACAATTGTCACTTATCTAGGGTACATCTTCGCTGAAGTTTTATTTAAACATGTTAGCAATTTATTTTTTGCCCATTTGCATCAAAAAAATTCAAAAAACTTTAAAAATGATTATGACAATTGTCACCTATCTTGGGTACATCTTCACTGAAGTTTTATTTAAACATGTTATCAATACTTATTTTGGCCCATATACGTCAAAAAAATTTTAAAAATAACGATTATTACAATTGTCACTTTTCTGTGGGACATCTTTATGAAATTTTAATTTAACAAGTTTACAATTTATATTTTTACCCATTTGCATCAAAAAACTTTAAAAATAAGGATTATGACAATTGTCACTTATCTAGGGTACATCTTCACTGAAGTTTTATGAATACATGTTAACAATACTTATTTTAACCGATTTACGTCAAAATAACTTTAAGAATAACGATTAAGATAATTGTCACTTTTATATGGTGCATCTTAATTAAAATTTTAATTTAACATGTTAAAAATACATATTTTACTATAAAAAAATCTAATATGTTTAAAAATACCGATTATGATAATTGTCATTTTTCCAAGGAACATCTTCAATAACGAATATAAAAATTGTCGGATTAAATTAGTTTCCTTAAAAAGATCATATACATAAATAAGTTAAATAAAAATATTTTTAAAAAAATATTATTTAGAAAACCCACCTCTTTTAATATACTTAAAAAATAGATAATTTTAAAAATAAAAGATTGTTTATTTATAATAAAATTCACAAAAGAATTCCTCAAAAAAGATTTAAAATTTTTATCAAAATTTGTTTAAAAATCTTTTTGAACTTCAAAAATTATATTTTGCTTAAAATTTTGGGCGTGTAAAATCACTAATAAATTGTAACAAAAATAATCAGGGTTGTGCATTTGACCGGTCAAATACGTTTCGGTCAATTGACCGATATTTGACCGGCCAAATATGGTCAAATGTGGTCAAATTCAAATATATTTTTTTAAAGTTAATATTAACTTTATTTTGAATATAATAGTAAAATGAATCTATAATATTAATTTTTTAAATTCATTCAATAACTAACGTGTAGCTATCTGTATCAGAGTCTTGTTCTGATTCATATTCAATATTATCATTTTCTTTAATATTTTTTAAACAATTTTCCTGATATCTTAGATCTTAAATCGATTTCTATTTTCATAAGAATATTAACCCAAATCGACCTATTTCTTTCTAAAGAAGAAGTAGAACTAGGAATTGTTAGTCTCTTAATGGGCAGGGTAGACAAAGTTTAATCTATTAACTTGAGGTCGGAATTGATTGTTTCTGGAAATTACTACTTTCCACATATTTTGCTATATTAAACATGCTGTTTTTGCTTCTGAAATTAATTATATCACTTAAAATATTTTGGTCATCACTACCTTGTAAAATAGCTAATTCTTGAATTATATCACATACTTCATTAATTACACTACTAGTAAGTTCTCCTCTTGATATTGTGGACCCGAAAAATAAGCAAACATTGTGATCACATGTATTTACATCTTTTTTCCCTTTTTTAAACATATTTTTAATTTATTTTTCCTTTAAATTTTTTAGAGTATTTGACCGTATTTGACAGGTCAAATACTCCTCCGGTCAATTGACTGAATTTGACTGGTCAATTGACCGACTTGCCAACCCTGAAAATAATATTACAATAGTAGCATATCATATCATTTTTTTTTTAAATATCAAATAAAAGAAATCTATTTTTCATTTCATAATTAATATAAATAAAAAATATATATCATATAATATGTTTATTTTTTGATAAATAAAATATTAACATTAAACATAAATGTCGCATTATATTTCGCGTAATAGTTTTCGCTATATTGTCTTCGCGATTTATATTTCGCGATATTGACTTCGCTATAAAATTTTCGCGATTATTGATTCGCGATATTTTTTTCGCTATAATGTTTTCGCGGAAAAGTATTCGCTAATGTAGATTCGCGATAAAAGTTTCGCTATAAAATTCATTCGCGATAAAAGTTTCGCTATAAAATTCATTCGCGATAAACGACATTCGCGATAAAAGTTTCGCTGAATTGACATCGAACCGAATATATCATCTTAAACCAGTATGATTTATTGGTTAGCGCTTTTTTTATATTAGGGTGTAAATACATGTGAAAATCTAAAAATTTTTAAAAAATGATAGGTTTCTTTACATTTAATTAATGAGTAGGTTTAGAATCGAAAAATAATAAAAAAACTTGTATGGAACATATTGCTGGCATTATTGATCAAAATCTTTTCATTTTTGGTTTATACATGTATATATTATATAAATAAGGGATTTATCTATAAAAATATTTTATATAATTTTAGAATTGCAATTGAATTGAATATAAACTATAACTGAACATTATAATTAAATGACATATGTTATGGTATAGTTAAATTATAAATGTTATACTAATAAAAAGTATATTATAAAACCATTGGTATCTTTATAGAATACAAAATTAGATATTATATCGGATCGGTAATCGGCCGATATCGATTTAATATCAGGAATATCGGATCGGATCGACCTCCAAAAAGTGGTATACACCCCTAGCCCTAATTACAGTTCAATTGGTATTCACTATTTCCCCCACCCTCAAAAATATGCGAAAATGGTTTAATTGGTATCTACTCCGCTTATCCTAACGTGTTCAAACTTGTCCATAGCCGAGGTTCCCGTTCTAAATGGCTAAAACAAAAATCGCTAAAAATTGGGAACCTGGCTTATATCTCCTAGAAAATTTTTAAAGTAAATTTGAAATTAATATTAATAGATACTAGGGGACTAAACACTTGTATTTGAATTGAAAATTTTAAAAAATCGCTAAAATGGAAGAAATATCATCCAAATTCCCAATTTGATTCCAAAACTGGGATTTTGGATGATATTTCTTTCATTTTAGCGATTTAGAACCTATCCCATAGCCGAAAACTGATAGATATTCGTTAAAATAGCCATATATTTATTTTCAAATTTACCAACCGCCTTAACTTTATCCTTAATTATTACCAAAGATAGTCTCTCTGCAATATCAAACTCAAGAAATCTTAGAGGGATTCACTATGGAATGCATATGGAAGACCAAAATCTTCTAAAAAGATAAAGTTTGTAATCAGCTGAAAGTTTCATGCATATAACCAGGTGGAATAACCTATACTATAGTATGACTTCACTGTTAAAATATAATTTAATTTTAATATTTGAAACAATTGATTGTCCCATTTTAAAGAAGTGGATGTTGTTTATATTGAGGATATTGTAAGGTTTTAAGCCCTGTATCACTTACATTCGAACTACAAGATCAGAGTACTACATTTTATGCTAGATTAGTGCCAATACTATTTGTGGTTAAAGGGGACTTAGATAAACATAAAAATTCAAGTTTGCAATATTGTCCTATATTAAAAACTATCCAAAATGGTATGGGCAAAAGATTTGGGAAAATTTTTTCCTATGACGATGAATATAATCAAGCTTTTTTGGCATTATTATCACATCCATATTTTAGGAATATAAATAAAAAAATACTTTCGAATATATTATTGAAAGAAGTCCTAAATGTACCAGTATTATATAATCAAGCTCAAATATAACACCAATGGATATAACATTTAATAAAGAAAATATTTTCTTTTTAATGAAACAAATTTCTGAGTTCAATAATACAAATAAAATTGAGCTAGATGTTTTAAATTATATTATAGACCTTCGAAATACATTAGAAATGCTTAATTATTATCCTTCCATTAAGGATTTTTTTTTAAAATATATACCTTCATCAGCTCCAGTTGAAAGGTTATATTTTTTTGTCACAATGAAATACGGCAAAGGCTTAATTAAATTATATGAAAAATTGATTATCTGAAACTAATGATTTGATTTAATCTATTTTAAATAATCATTTCCAAATTAAAATGATTTGATTTAATCCATTTTAAATAATATTTTGCAAATTAATATTTCAACGCTATGAATGGGCTAAATCTAATATTAAAATGCCTGATTATTATACTCGTCATTAAATATTTGATTAATTATTGTAAATATTTATTCTTATATGCGAATGTTATGTTCTTCATCAATAAATAATAAAAATGTACTTTATAAATATTCTGTAATAATTTTATAAAATTCAAATACTCTCATTTAGCAAAAGATACAAGTATCTTTTATCTTGTTTGATATTTTGAATAAGATACTAGTATATGTATCTAAGATCTATTTTTTCTGGAAGACCCCAACTCTTACAGTTGGCCATTATTACTATTATTATAAACAGGTTAAAGATTCTTATAGTTCTATTTTTGATTATAATATCAAATTTTTTGACAGGTATTGTCCGTAGCGGCTGTAGCAACTAATGGAGCCGTCGAAGGAGGTGGTGCTTACTTCATGATTAGTCGTACACTTGGTCCCGAGTTTGGAGGAAGCATAGGTGCTATATTCTTTTTCGCTAATGTCTTTAGCAGTGCTCTCTATTGTGTAGGATGTTCTGAAGCGCTAGTCGAAAGTTTCGGGCCAGGTGGAACTTACTCATCCCCCAAACGAACGAATAGTAATATTACTATATCACCTGAATATTACGGCTACAATACTCGCATATTACCGGAAGGTTTGTGGTGGTCAATTTTATACGCCTCTTGTGTTAACGCGCTCAATTTAATAATATGTTTGTTTGGGAGTTCGGCTTTTGCCCGGGCCTCTCTCACCGTCCTCGGCGTAATAGTAGTTTGTGCTCTCTCCATTCCTTTAAGCGTGATTCTAAAGACAGACCCCACATGCATTGATATTCCCAACAATAATATAATCGTCTACCCACCGCATCAGAGGATGTCATCAACTCCAAGCTTGATATTAAGTACCACCTTTTCTCATTTAGATTTTATGGTGAACAATACTTTATCTAATTTGATATCAAATGTCACAGCAGCGATAGAACCAACATCAACCACCAATTTCACTAGTTTTTCTCCCATTTCATCTGCTCCTACTATGTCACCACTTATTCCATCATTACCAACGTGTGGCAATTATACTGGGTTCAAGGTAGAAACATTGATGCAAAATATGAAACCTCAGTACTCTATAGATTATACAACCGGATTTACCGCCTCATTCATGACCGTTTTTGCCGTCGTTTTTTCTGGTGCCACTGGAATTATGGCGGGGGCTAATATGTCAGGTGATCTTAAAGATCCACAAAAATCTATCCCAAAGGGAACATTATGGGCCGTTGCTTTTACTTTTACAACTTATATTATATTGTCAATACTCATTGCTGCAACATGCTCCAGTTTTTTATTAAAAAATGATTATATGGTTTTAGCCCAAATTAATATATGGCCACCATTTATTACAATAGGTATATTGCTCGCTACGATTACCGCTGGACTTAGCAATTTAATTGGTATATTCATTTGTACATAATTTAGCAAAAAAATTTTAACTTTTTTCACCTTGCCTGGTCCATTATCCTTTAATTTTTTAAATGTGAGTCATAGGGATTACGTTAATGAAAAAAATTCTGCCGAGCTGCACGGAAATTTTTCTTTTTTTTTAAATTTTTCAAATATTTTTATCTTATTCCATTATATTTATTATTTTTCTTTTCTTTTTATTACGATTTTTATAAAAAATAAGAACTTGCATTAATTCATGTTTCTATCTGACCTTTCAAAAAAAAATCAGTCGTTACCTAGCTTACATCTGGAAATATCAAGTTTTCATCAGAAGGTCTTATAGATATTATTTTTTGAAAATAGGATTAATCTTTAGACTAGGCTGAACATGCCAAATATAATATAGATTTTATGATCTGAGGCTGTATAGTATAATAATTTGATGTGGACTGGGCCCTAAAAAACATGCCTTGATAGTACAATTTTTTTTTAACTTCATCAATTTAATACCATTACCCATAAAAATTTATACTATAGGCGCCTCGCGCGTTCTGGAAGCCGTGGCCCGGGATAACATATTTGGTAGTATGTTACAAAGTCTGACCTTCATAACACGCTCGGGCAACCCAATAAAGGCGGTCGTCATGTCTTGGCTTCTGGTCCAAGTGGCCATAATAGTTGGCGGTGGCTCTCTTAACAAGATAGCCGGGATCGTGACAGTTTCCTTCTTGCTCTCCTACTTAGCCGTAAATGTGTCATGCTGCGCCTTGGATCTAGCTTCGGCTCCTAACTTTAGACCCTCATTCACGCACTTCTCATGGCACTCGGCCTTGCTCGGTTCTGGAGCTTGTCTCGTTATCATGTTCGCAGTTGCCCCCACATTTTCTGCCCTAGGTCTTACTGTGTGCGCCTTCCTCGTCGCACTCTTACACTGGAAAACTCCCGCTTCTTCCTGGGGCTCGCTCAGTCAGGCTTTGCTGTTTCATCAGGTAAAGCCAAATGGGTTTACTGTAAAAATAAATTAGAAGTTGATCCGAATTTTTTACCAATGTTTACTAGTGTTAGGCTAATAGACTAATATTATATTGGCATATTTTTGAGTAGTTTAAGTTTTAATAGGGACATTCTTGCATATTGATGAATATATTCAAACCAAATGTCTTACTAAGGACATTATTTGCAATTATACCAAAATTTAAGGTTGATTAATTTTCTTATATATTTATTTAAAAAAGGAAAAAGTTCAAAGGTGTAACAAAATTTTTTAAAAGGTCAATAAAAAAAGGAAAACTCCCAAAGTCTTAAGAAAAGGTCCGATCAAATAAGAAAAATGGTCAATCAAATAAGGAAAAGATCTTGCAAAAATAAATCAACAGAAATGGAAAAGTTTCAACTAAATAAAGAATTATTCAAAAAAAAAAAATTTTTATCATATTTTTTTAAAATTATTCTAATAATCCTAAAATGTCATTTTTTTCCTAAATTTTTTTTTGAATTTTATTATAATCATTTCTTTATTCTCTGTTATCTTTCTTCAACTCAATTATTTTATCATTCTTTTTCCCATTTTTCATCTTTATCTCATTGCAAATGTGGTGAAAATATTAATAATTCAGTAAAAATTTACTATTTAAAAATTATCGATTTGCACTACAACATAACGATGAGTGACAGGTCCGGACCAGAACTAGAAAAAAATAAATTTTTTAATTCCTGTCCTGGCTTAAAAATGAAAATTCCAACCCCCGACCGAGCCACCATAGCCGGGCCAAATTTATTTCCCTCAATTCTAATGAGATGAAAAAAGGGGAAAATTAAAATAATAGAATTAGATAAATTAAGTAAGTTGATAGGGAGAATAAAGAAATTGTTTAGAAAAAAAGAATAAAATATTTCTTATGAAAAATATAAATAAACAATTTATATATATAATAAAATATTTTTAAAAAAAATATTTTAAAATAATAAAAGGAAAGTGTTCCTAAAACATGAGATTTTCATGAAAAATTTATAATTGAATTTTTTGATTAAAATATAAAGGTATGATTTGGGTCGTTTCATAGGATTTTTAATTTTTGATTTATAGATTTAAAAAAACAATCAAATTTAGGACCAAAATATTCTAAATAAGTGGGTGAATATGATTTGTGAAGAAAATTATGAGTATTTATTTATTTGAAGCACTCGGACAAGTCAGTAAGATTCATATTTAATGTGAAAGAAAACCCGGTTACGCATGAATACCCCATATGAAAGGTCTCCCTCTCCAAGGAGCTATAGTGACACCTTTTCATAAGGGAAAGCCAATTTTAGCTATATAGTGATTGTTCTATGCTGTGACACTACCTCAAGAATTAGAGCAAGAAAGGCGATGCCTACTTTACTATCGACCAGTAGAGCATTCACAATGTAATATCGCCACCTAGGCAAAGGCAATTCTTAATTCTTCATTACTTAACAACATTCCAGACTCTGACTGGATAATCAAGCCAGTGATGGCTATTTTTTTATTTTGAGCCAAACTTAGCAAAAAAATATCATTGGGCTGGACAATCTCCAAAGTTTCTGCGTATTACATTAATCAAAAGCTTAGCAAAGACTCTTCCTTCATTATTGAAAGAGGTCACAATTGAAGGATAAACACGTTTTTTGTTCAATCTTCTAATAGGTGATAGAAATACCATTTTAATGAAAAATAAAATTAACATCTTTATGAGCCAAAATTTTGTCCCTAACTATTATTCCTAAGGAGATTTGACTTTATTTTTAATCTAATATTGTTCATTTTTTTAAATTAATTTTTTTATTATTTATCCTAATATAGGTAAGAAAATATTTATTATTATTGGATCCACGTAAACAACATGTTAAATACTGGAGACCACAAATATTACAGCTGATTGCTGATCCGCGTTACAATTGTGAATTGATTGATTTTGTGAATGATTTAAAAAAAAGTGGACTTTTTGTTCTAGGTCATGTTATTTTGCGAAGTCACAGTCAGCCTACAGAAGGTAACCTAAGAAACATTCTATATTATAGGGTTTACTATTCAAAAAATGAAAAGCACCGATAAAAAAAATGAGAATGTCAATCAAAAAAGTAAAATGTTCCCCAAGTAAGGGAAAATTCAATTAAAAAGGGAAAATATTATATTTTTAATAAATTTTTTAAAAAAAATATTATTTTATTTTTTTGGTTGTTGAAATGTCATTTTTTGTTGGTATTTTTCTTTAATTTTTGGTTATTTTTAATTTTCTTTCATAATCTTTAGAATTTTTATCTAACTTTTTGCCATCGATATTTAATTTTATATCATTTTATTTTTCTCGTCTTTTCTTAATTCTTTTCCTCATTTTTGAATTTTATTTTTGTTTTTAGCCATCTCTTTAATTTAATTTTTTAGTAATTTCCATATTCTTATCTAATCTTTCTTCAATTCTTCATTCTTTTTATCATTTTATTTCTTTTCCATTTATCTCATTACAATTACGCGAAGGATTTTTATTTATTTTTGGCAAGTTCTGGTCAGGGCTTCTGGGCTTGTAGCTATCTGGATTATATATAATAACTCACTTATCGTTTTGTGTATTAGTTAGAATTTATTAATTTTAAAAGTACATTATAAATACTTTAATTTGCAATTTTATAAGATGAAAAAATATAAAATAAAATAAAGAAATTATTTCAAAAAAGAATAATAAAAAATGACGAGAAAAAAGTAAGAGATTTGGAAAATGACAAAAATAGAAGAAAAAAAATTAAGAGTAGCCATAAATTAAATAAAGATGACATTTTTTTTATTTTTAATATACAAAAAATATAATAGATAATGATTTTCCTTTGTGATTGAATCTTTTACAGGGAAATTTTTATTTTTTGATTGGCACTTTTCCATCTTTCCCTTTTATAAATGGGAAACCTCATATAAAGATATATTTAGCTAGGATAATTTTTTGAAAATGATTTTCAAATTAACTTGATGTCTTTCTATTAGATTTACTGTTATTTAGATAAAAGTGTCGAATTCTCCAAAACTACATAAGGTGTATTTGATACTACATTATGATTAATTTGGAAATAAATTTTTCTACGCTAAATTTAGATGAGGGTAGACCTGTGCGCCGTTGTCTCATTCGAAGGTGGCAGTATTTTTTAATATTTTCATCGGCTTTCGGCGGCGCGTCGATTTTGCCGCCGCCTATTAAATTGTCGGCGGCGCGATATTTATTTAAAATTTTTTTTATTGAATTTAATTTATAAGTCAATGTATAATTTATTTAGGCGCTCTTTTTTAACACATTGTTAATATAGTTTAATTCATTTCTTTACTCCAATTTAAATTTATATATTTTTTCATTCTCAGAAATAGATTAATGAATTGCATTTTTTACTCAGATCAGAGTCAAATAACCAGAGTTGTTAAACGCTATTTTTAAAAGTAGCGCGCTACCGCTATAGCTATTTGTCAAAAAAAGTAGCGCGCTACCGCTTTCGCTATTTGTCAAAAAAAGTAGCGCGCTATTAGCTACTTTTTATAAAAAAAATTTTGGAAACAAATGAAACAAATTTTTTTTATATTTTTTTTGCTTATAAATGTAAATGTATAAATAAATAATATATAAAAATCAACATTTATAAATATAAAAATTTAGTTAGTTTAGATTATAAAAAAATAAGCAATATAAATAAATATTTATTTTAATTTGTTGCATTTTAATAATATCATTTCAATATTATCATCCCCAAGTCTAGAGCGACGATCAGAAAGTATAAGCTTTGCTTTGCTAAATAATCTCTCGACACTAGCACTTGAGGGCAAGGAAGCTCTAAAAATATTTAATCAGATCAATTTATAAATATAAATAAATTTTTACCTTCTGTTATGCGTCCAACTATCTGCCGGTGTACATACATAAGATATATCTGATAACTCTACTCTTAGAGCATCTTTCATCACTTTGAAGTTGTCGGCTATTTTATTCATAAGTGTCTGGCGACATAAAACTGTTGTGCGATAAAGTATTGGCCTGTTTATTATCAGTTAATTTGGTTTGGATAGTATTTGTCTTTTTGAATGAAGATTCTCTTATACCAATTTTTTTTATATGTTTCTCTATTTCCTTATAGCAATTGGCGTGAACAGTCTAATAAAATAAATAATATTATAATGTAAAAATAACAATTTACCTTTAGGTGTTTCTTCAGGTTATAGCTACTCGATTGATTTGATGATATATTTTTTTTACATTTTAAGCACAGGAATTTGAATTCAGATTTTGTTTTAATATTTATTTTAAAAAATTTTTCAAATCTAGGGAATGGGAAATCGTTATTAGAGCTATTAAGTACATTTTCTTCCATTGAATCTTCCATGTCTGAATCACTTTCAAGGATTTGGATATCCATGGGCGATGCCATTTTAGATTATTAACACAGATTGAAAATATAAATTAAAAATTGAAAATATATTTAAATTTCAAAATTAATTAATAAATTATAAAAATTATAATTAATTATGATATTATATTTAAATTTTCATGTTTATACTTACATTCATTATATTTTTTATAAGTAGCGAAGTAGCGCGCTACTTAAATTAAATAATTTTAAAAAAAGTAGCGGCTATTAGCTATAGCTACCAAAAAAGGTAGCGCGCTACTTTAACAACTCTGCAAATAACACATATTAGTAATATGCTATTGATTTTTATTATAGCAAATTAAAATATAAATTTGGAATGCAAGCAAAATATAAATTATGAAATATAATAAATCAGAATTCAGATTTAGCAAAATAATTGTCATGAATAAATAGTATTTTATCACTATTCTTGGGGCATAAAAAGTCCTTTTTGCATTGAGTATTAATCCAGCAATGGAAAAATTCTTTCCCTGGTACTGGTTGCAGGTATACAAAGAATCTTCCTAGCTAAATTAGCAAGCCTAGGAAGTTCCAGTCGTTTTTTCTTCCAAAAGATTAATGCTTCTGGGATATTATGTTGGTTGAGCAAAATATGACATTCTTGTTCTAGATTACTAATGTTGTTATAATCGTTGCGTGGAAAGGAATGTTTAGGAGCTATTTTAGCTATATTAGAACTGGATGTTTGCCCATTATCTTCAACTTGAATCTCACTCTATGCATTTCTATGTGCTCTAAAAGTTTTAAATGTTTAATTAAAAATTGCAATTATGTCGTGGAATTCATATTTAAATATTCTGAAACAATTTTAAGATTTTGAAATCTGGGATCTAGTAGTCGCTAATATCTAATGTTTAAAATATCATTTCTTGAACTTCAGTAATGGGAAACCTATGGTCAAGGTTTTTTTCCATATTTTCTTATAAGCAAATAATATCTGAGCAATCAGATTTATTGATTTGTATATAGGTTTCTATACTGCGAAATAATAACCCTAAGTTTATTGTAGATCCCTTTTGGGAGGAAAGAAATTCCACCGACTCTCGGAATGGATTTAATACTGTGTAAAGCTCATCAATCATATTCCATTCATTTAAAGAGTTTTAAAGTTTGTTTTCCTATTTTATTTAGAACATTATTTATAGGAATTTTGTTTACACTGCGAATACTTTCTAGCATAATTAATATGCTGTGCCAGCGAGTAGGTTAATTTAATTTAAAGTTTTTATTAATTAGATTGGTTGGTGCAATGCCATTTCTATTATCCGCATCATCACACATATCAAAATGGTCATCAAGGTATGGATCAGAATCATCAATATCCAAGATATGACCTGTCTCATAAATTAACTATAGACATTTACGATGCTCAGCCTCAATTCACATTCCAAATCAGCTACTTGATATCTGAGGGCTGAAATAATTTTTTTAATGAGAATATCAATTCTGGCAACTTTTTTATGCCATCAACTAGTGCTGCGTAATCGGCTAATTTTAGCCGACTAAAAACGGCTTAGCCGAGATTTTAGGTGGAAAAATCGGCTAAACCTAATTAGGCTAAGCCTAAAAATCGGCTAAACCTAATTAGGCTAAGCCTAAAAATCGGCTAAGCCTAAAAATCGGCTAAGCCTAAAAATTGGCTAAGCCTAAAAATGGGCTAAGCCTAAAAATTGGCTAAAATAAATTATTCAAAATTCTGCATCGATGCTTAGGAGCATTAATTATTATTTATTTATTTTAGTAAAATAATTTATTTTATTTATATTTAATGTAAATATTTTATTATTATCAACAAATAAACATGATATGATTTAATATTTTTTATTTATATTATTATATTTTGAAATGAAAATAAATTTATTTATTTGATGTTTTTTTAATAAAAAAAAATAATATGCTGCTATATTGTAAAAATATAATATTCTTTAAATATAATTTATTAGTGATTTTCACAATCTTCTTTGTAAATACATCTTTTATTGAGGAATTATATTGTAAATTTTATTAGATAAATAAACAATCTTTTAGGTGAAATCTTATATAATTTTTTTTAAATTATCTATTTATTATTAAATGAGGTGGATTTTATGAAACTTTTTTGATGTTATTTTATATGATCTTTTTAAGGATAATATTTTAATGTGACAATTGTCATAATCGTTCTTTTATAAGTTTTTTGAATTTTTTTGAAGAAAGTATGTTAAAATAAGTATTAATAACATGTATAAATACAAATTTAGTGAAGATGTACCAATGAAAAGTGACAATTGTCATAATCGTTATTTTTAAAGTTTTTCGAATTTTTTTGACGAAAATATGTTAAAATAAGAATTAATAACATGTGTAAATATAAATTTAGTGAAGATGTACCAATGAAAAGTGACAATTGTCATAATGGTTAATTTTAAAGTTTTTTGAATTTTTTTGATGAAAATTTGTTAAAATAAGTATTAATAACATGTGTAACTATAAATTTAGTGAAGATGTACCATAGAAAAGTGACAATTGTCATAATCGTTATTTTTAAAGTTTTTCGAATTTTTTTGACGAAAATATGTTAAAATAAGAATTAATAACATGTGTAAATATA